CTTCTACACATCAGTTGACAAAAGTGGCAGCTATTTTCTACACTATTTTCCTTTTACATGCTGCATACCTTAACCAGCAGTTTTTACCTAAATCTCCTTAAACAAATGCACTGGAATACACCAACAGCTCCAATTCCACAGAACTCTATCATACAGACAGTGTCAAACGGTTAGTTAAGCAGATAAGAAAGGCCCTCATTCTCCCTTAAAAAAAAAAAAAATAAGGAAGCTACTGCACTGGAGCAGACGGAGCGTGGAGAGGAGCTGGCAGATTCCACAATACATAGTCACGTCAAAAATGGCCTCCTGCAAACTGTTCCTTCATTAGGCCCTTGAGTCAACCCAAAGAGGAGCCTTCCGCGCCATTCGCAGGATGTTTCACCTCCGTGCTCCGCAGCAGAGCAGCATTTGCTGCACATTTCTGACATGCGAGCATGCAAACAGCAGCAGAGGGTAGATTTTTTGCTCCGTGCCCAGCAGCAGAGGAAAAATTCCTCTAGCTGCGCTCGGTTTCCAGTCGCAAAGTTGAGCCGGGCCATTATTTTGACTGTTCCCTAGCCTGTGAATGGAAAATCCCTCCTCAGCACTAGCAGGCTGGTGTCTGCTGCACACACCCACCGCACACAGCAGAAATTCCAGTCAATAAGGCGAGAGGGGCCCAGCCGATGGAAGGGGAGGAAGGAGACATACAAACAATAAGGAAAGCATCTGGCTCGGTTACTGCCTGGAAAAGGAGACTGGAGTTCAAACCAGACAGGGCTGCAGCGAAACAGAAAGATCCTATCAATTCTCACCGGCCTAGTTCCCACAGACCAAGACAGCAGAGATGGGGAAAGATAAAATAAAATTTAAAAAAGATAAATAATAATAATAATAATAAAGGAGCTGGGGTTTCCAGCCCCAGATTCTCAGGTAATGCTGATAAGGAATGGGAAAGACCCCCAGCGGGTCGTTTTTTGTCCTGCTGCCCCACAACGTACCCTCCTCTACTCCAGAGGTGCGGGAAGGGCCCCAGCGGCGGCGGCGCGGGCGCCAGGCGCCTCCTCCCAGGGCGCTAATGGAGGCCGCTCCGCGTCCTTCCCTGGAGAGCGCGGCCAAGCCGGCGCCAGCTCCTCTCCTCTCCTGGCAACGGGAGCTGCGGAGCCGGCAGCAGCTGCTGTCACCGCCTGCGCCCTCCCCGCCGGCCCCCGCCAGGGCTTCCCGGGTCAACCGCAAGGGAAGGGGGAGAGGGAAAAATGGGAGAAATCCCCATATTTGCTACAGAGCAAGGGAAGGGGATCCCCTCTTGCTAGGGAAGGGGTGGGAATTTCTCCCTCTCCTCGCGGGCTGGGCCTCACGGTAGCGGCACGCGCTGCAGGAGCGGCTGGGGGAGGGGGACACGGCCCGAACGCGCCCGGTGCCGACGAGTCCCCCCGGCCCCGAGCGGCGGGAGGCAGAGGCCGCGCTGGGGCGGCGGGAGGCGCGCGGGCAGCGATGCCTTTTAAAGGAGCGCCGGGGAAGCGCGGGGAACGGAGGCTCCGGCGGCGGCGCGAGGCGCCGGGCCCGGCGGCGGCGCGGCCAAGGACGGCGCGGGCT